GCCGAGCTAAATGGGCCGGCCAAAACCCAAACAGTAAAATGGCTAACGCTGGCTCGAAGGAGCAATTCCACTCCAGATACTCCGATCCTAACCATCCAGCGAGCAGCGGCGACATTATAGCCTTGTTAACTGGGGGGAATCTCCAAAGTTTTTCGGCCAGCGGCCGTAGGGGTCCCCTTCCACGTCGGGTGGATGGTAGACGAAACGGGCCTGGCGGGCTAATTGTTGGTGATGGGGGTATCGTTGGAATGGGTGTTAATGCAGTGAAGAAGGTTTTTGAAAAGGTTATTACAAATTGCTAATGCAGCCGCCTTCTTGGAAACACACGCTAACCAGAGCACAGGATATACTTTATCTGATGATAGTTCAGCTTCCAACGCCGGAACAGATAGCAGAAGCTTCCGCTTTTGTACCTGCGGCTGGGCTATCATCGAACGGGTTATAACCCAAAGCATCCGATAGAAGTTGCCACTGATATTCAATGGGAGTAAAGGAGAGTCCGTAACGGGACAATAGCGAACTTGTCGCCGATGAATGTTTCAGGGGCCGGTTTTTCGTGATGGAGACATCATATTGTAATTCCCTGCTCAGGGCGGATATCCGTGATATCTGTCTTTATTAGTTTTCAAAAGTGTTAAGACCACTCCCCGGGAGACTATGACACGTGCCCGTTCAGCATTTATATAGAAAGTTTCGTCGTTAGAAATGAAGCAGAAGCACTCAAAGTTCAACGTTAAATTCAATGTCTGGAGATAGACAACTGGCGTGCTTAGATCGTATTCACCATTACACTTCCTTTGAGGAGGGTATACTAGTAAGGCAAATTAGTAGGCATTCAACACCTGCCCTCTGATAGCATAAGTCTCTCGGTGTCTTGTTAGTTGCAACTCTGTTAATTAGGCACGCGATTACGATGGACGGTCAACTAATAAGACAGAAAAGATCAAACCTAGATTTTGAGACTTGTTAAAGGCGCAAGAGAAAAATCTATGAAGTGTGACTGTATGGTGGATCCTCTCAATATTGTGACTAAATCTTGGGAAAGACTTGACACGGAAAAGAAGATTCTGATCAATCGGGTTGTCTGATTCTAGATAGCATACAAGCCATTCTTCCCGGCATTTCACATTGCTACTTATTCAAGGGCAAATTAGCCCACTATCACAGCAAATTGGTTGCTGATGAATCAATCCACCGTTCATTACCAAAAATCTTGCGATAGCTTAAGTCATGAACCGTGATCTCTTGAATAGTAGAGCCTAGAATGCTCAGTCAGATCGGTATCAGTTCTGTCTCTTTTCCAGCGCCGGTGCACCTTCCATGCCGTCAGAGCAACAGGGAGACAATTACAAATTATGGCGAGGAGTTCAATCGTCTCAATGCTGCCGTGCTCTTGGCGTGAATGCCGGCCGGGCTCAACTACGTTGCCAGTAGTACATCCGCCCGCTTTTGGCGCAGGGAGAGTCTGACCCGAGCTACATTAGCGATATGAGCTCTACCGCTAGTTGGACCTAAGGGTTCCTAGGGTACATACATTATCCATGTACCGAATCAGGCTTACATGGCTCGACTCGAGAAAGGTTAGCCTGGTGAAAGGGATCAAGAGATCAAGTCTGATAAGAGATGAATCATTTGAATGTGATGAGAACTGGAGAAATAACTCATAATGAGGCGACTAAGATTAAACAGACCGTCACGCGCAACACGCGGATTTTAATTGCAAGAGGTGTTCCAATATACAATTAGATTTGAACACGTCTATCAGTGAAAACGTAGACCTTATATCAGCTTCTCAACACCAACATGATGCTCTAGATGTACCAGTCTCTTGTTATTAATTTATTTCTAGGGCATGGCTTGAGCATCGTTCATCATGTGAATGGCAGTCAGTACTGAAGGCTTCAAACCTATGCGCAATAAGTTATAGCCAAAGCGCATCCTGCCGATCTCCACTGACAGTTTTTCCAACGTAGAAAGTAATCTAAGCAGTCTACGTTCGGATCCGAGATGTCACGACCTGATTCATAAGCATATTCGAGCAGTTAGTTTCGATAAAATAAGTAGTATTTCTGTAGGACTGATGCTGGAAAGAATAACACGGTAGGCAGGGTAACAGTCTGGGCGCCCCCCTTCTCCTAAATGGAAAGCAAGGTTCTGGGGCTAGATGTTATTGGGCGGAAACTATCCACAAAAGTCAATTTAGTACACGACCTTCCTGAGTGACGTCGTGAATATAATCGAGCTAAAAAAACAATCAGTTATGCTTCTTGAGAGAAGAAAGACAATGCGAAGAGACTGCTTACGTGCAGTCGTAAGACCCCTCCCAGGTTGGGGCTTGGGTGCGCCTCATTTTCATTCCCTTAAAAAAGCACTATGTTTTGAATGCACGACAGGCATTACGTTGGGGCCATGGCACGAATGCCTACACAGACAAGAATACAGCCTCGGCTTTTTTAACAATGTACCGTTCTTCCAGCTGGTACTTCCCGAGTAAAGTTCTGACTGTCGGCATCTCATTTCTGATAGGGTGGAATATGTCCTTGTCAATCACCTTTATGGTTTCATTGAATGTCTGGATGTCACGCTGCGAAACATCGACGCAAGGTAAGTTTAGAACGAAAGGCAGTTAGAGGATATGTGGTTCTCATTGCTTAATTTAGGTCACTGGGCTGGGGTCGATGCAGCGCTTGCAGAGTGAGTTGAGGAGACATTACCTATATGATATTTCATAAGTTCTCTGACACTTAAGACACAATTTGCAAGATTATTCAGTCAATACAATGAAGTACTAAGGTCTCATCTCCAGTGTAATTAAGTAAGGAAGAGGTGAAATGCGGCTCGTACTCTATGATACGATCGGTAGACAATTTTCTGATGCACATTATCAACTCGCAACAGTGGTACAGTTCCTCGAGATTCACATTACTACCTGCTTTTTGGGGATGAGATCTGCATGCTGACAGTCCTGGCAGCCCTAAAATGACGCCCGTTGGCCATTTTCTTGCCCTTAGGCTTTCTGCTACTTTGAACCCTTGGTCTATATGAGAGACTTTAAGACGCCAATTGCCGTGGCGGCAGCGACTATCATTGCACATACTGATCAGAGATATGAACCAGAGCGTTGCACAGTAGGTGATAGTATACCAAATTAGGATCCAATGACAAGATGGTTGATGCCTTTATTCCATCTTAAGGTGTTACATTGGCAAATCGGCATCATTTCTTTGAAACATTGTTTGATAGTATCCAATCCCGACTACGATAGCAAAGAGGACTTTGATGTGGGGAGTAGCACGCGGCAGGCGATACATAAATGCAACACATGAACTGCAGGGGTGTACAATACGTAAGTAAGGCCCAGCCACTTAAGAAAGACTGGGGAAAGCCGATAGTTGATCTGGATAAGCTTGAGCGAATTATGGGATATTTTAGAATACACGTATTGTAAGATAGAAACGCGCGTTACGGCTGCTACAGAAAGAGGGCAGTTTCCTTGTTTTTGGCTCGTCGGGACCGTGGAGCTTGAGGTAGGATTATTCTACGGAACCGAGGAGATGTGTAGTATACATCAGTTGCTGTAGTGAGTAAGGGTTGCATTTGACGATTTCTCGTCATAAGGGGTGACAGCGCCACAATACTACAACTAGGGCTCGGTTTGTAAAATCGGCTGCCAGCTTCCCGTGATCCTCATTGTTGTGACTTACTGCGTTGGTATTGACAGTTGGATGTAAGTATCCCATGTGCAGTTCCAGCCAGGGATCGTTTGAAGGCACGGACAGATCGTTGTCTTCATGCCACTTGGAGATTATAAATCAAAACGTAAGTACCTCTCCAGAGAATCTCACCAACCAGTCTACCTGGTGGCTGCGGGTGCGTGTATAACAATCTTTGATCTAGATGCCCTTGCAGTTGCCAGTCCAAAGAAGCACCAATAGAAACTGTAGAGAACAAAGTTGACGTAAGATCGCCTGTATGTGGCTTTTTGAATACGAAGACTTTCTTAGGAAGTTTGATACTTATATGCCGAGTAGTTCATGCAACCATTAGGCCCTATCGTGGTCCATGTTGATAGCAGAGAAACGCCTCAAGGTCGGATCTCCCGGTTGATGTCTAATCTATCCACAACTTGATCACCAGGGCCCTTGTTCATACAAAACAGCTGATCAATGTGTCAATTAGAAACTAGTACTGGGATCCCGGGATGGCTACTGGTCTTGGGGTGACACGAGCAGGATCTTGAGAACACTCGTCTCGATTTCCGCTAATCCAAAGCGAGATACAAATGGCAGAAGTCTGCGATTGATGAAAGGGGGTGTGCGTATCTATATCTGACCCCCACTCAGTTAGGACTGAGAGTCTGTAATGGAACGGTGCAAAGTATATCCCATCTCTTCCGTAGGATTAGGACCACGCGCCGGGGAGTAGTATTCGCCGTCATGTCGTTACAGAATGGCCGAGATTAGACGGTGTTGGTTGGTAAGGCAACCATTATAGGATACCACTTAGTCTAGCGGGCCGCTGTCCTGAAAAGATTAGTCGAGTATTGAAGAAAGTCCTACGCCCAGGCGAGTCTGGTCAATCCTTGACTTGGTGGTTGGCAACACTTGAAGGACCCATGACACCAATATCCTTAGCTCCCGGAAGGATGCCGGATGTCCAGGTGGTATGATAGGAAACTACGACTGGAAGAGAAGAGGTAAGCTATAAGTAATTGCGAATGTAGTAATAACGGAACATTTCCCACGTTCACCATCATGTCACGCTATGCTGACATAAAAGTACCATACAGATAGATGAACAGGTTGGCCCTGGAGAAGAGTAGCATTATGAGAGGTGGAAAACGCCCCGCATATCGAACCCTAGGATGAATGAACATACATGCATACGTACATACCCCAAGATCTACCTACCCACGCAGGGATACTAATAGAGAGTGTGTGTCAGTCAGTCATGTGGCAGATAAAAAGGGAATATAATAATAGATAACAAAAAGTAGAGATTGCCCCCATCCCGGATCGAACGAGAGACCTTGTCATATTCTTGTATTGAACACTAATTATACAAGTGACACGCGCTACCACTACGCCATAGGGGCATTGCTGTGAATTTATGTTTTTTGACGGCTGTGAATCGGAAATCAGGAATCACAGGATTCAAACAAAGCACAACCCCTAACATTACCTCGAGCAAGAAGATCATAACCGGTGGTCGCCAGGGGTGTACATACAAGCATGCAAGAAAGCGGCACATATCCTATAATGGTGACGAGAAAGCAAATCTATACTAGAAACAGGAAAAAATACCGAACTTTTAATAGAAAAGAATTTGCGGACGACAGTAATAATGCCTCATGGTAACAAGGTGTGCGTCGCTCTTTCGTAGACGACCGTGACACTGGCTCCTATTGGCCAACAAGGTACTCTCCACGGTACTGTACAACAGCCGGAATTGAAAGTGCAAAAATTGTAAATAGAAACCAGATGTCTTAAATGTTGTCCAGACGTGCAGATTTATGTTCCAATGATGATTCAGGGGCTGGCAAGGAAATGGACATTATTAGTAAGAACTAGCGGGCCGTACAGTAGCATCGGCGGTTAGAATTTAACTACAGGCGCAATAGTTGTACCGACATGCCGATCAGGTTACACATCGGAACAGTTCGAGGTTCGAGGTAACTCTATGTAGACGTTGAGGATGGTGGTCAGCCCAGGTCAGGGCCAGTGATACAACCACAAGAAAGTTAGTACCACACTACTCTAGACTCGAAATACGATGTCGAGGTTAAGAGGCATTAGCCATAAGGTATCCTTTGACGTACTCTAGGAACTGAAGGTGATTGGAAATTCCAGCGATACGAAACCTTTCTTGGGAGATGCCTATCGGCGATGTCTATTGAGGAAGTCATTGATTAGTTACACAACACTTAGTATTAGACATTATGAACATGATGCGATACTCATGCACTAGCTCTAACTAGGTTTCTCATGCGTTTGCTTCCTGTCCCTTATCTGATTTCTATCATCTATCTAACGTAATTCATTTGAAACTCATATGGGCGGGAACGTCTTCAGAACCCCTGCTCATGAATTCAGGTAATCCATGTCCTTGAACTTATCGAGTAATATTAAGATTCATTAGTTTTAATCTCCTGAGACCGACGGAGACTGGATAATTTAAATCATTCTAAATCTGACCTTCGAAATGATACCCTGAGCCAATTTACATGTGAATCAGACCCAGTCATCTCGAAAGAGAAATCACTTTTAATGATGAGTAGCTATGAGTAAACGATAAAAGAGATTTTTGTGATCCTATAGGCAATGCTGCTCTGGCTTGCGCTATTAGCATCGCTTGGTGAATGTCTCTATTTCTTCTCACAGTGGTTCCTGGCAGTCTATGCTCAGTGTTCCCGAGAAAAAGCTACTGGCCCCGAAAATTGAGGCTCATTCCAGTTTGCACAGCACATTAAGTGCGTTGTACTAGGTATATCTCTGCTACGTGTACGTAAGCAGCGCCTGCTGCACATGATGGTAATCGTGGCTGGTTCTCCAACGAATGCCTATGGATGGTGTGTGACACAACCACCCACTGGGGTCGGTACCAAAACTCATTAGCTGCGTTGGGACGTCTCTTGACTATCGAACCCCTCCCGTCACTCCGCCTTTTGGGGTAATCACTTCTTGACCGCCTCCTTTGAGTTGCATTGGGGCGTCTCGTTGCATTGCTGGTTCAAGAACGGGAGTAGAAAATGGGTTTGAATGGCTGAGCAGAGCCTCAGATCCAAAGCGAAAAGATGCCGTTGATCGAGTAAAATGAATAGTATGCAATCTTAACGTGGCAATGGCACATTCGGAGTCCGCCTCTGGCGGTCAATCGGGCACAAGGGTAATTTCCAGGTGAACCAACGGGGCATACGTCTTGTCGTCGACATCGCGTAGCTATCTAAATACAGGGAACTGAGATTCCGCCCGATATAATCATTTTCAAATCGCTGGACTGCCCATATCACCACGTTGTGGGGTCCGCAGATAGAAGAGATATTGAGGTCATGATGCTCCCGGCGCTTACAATATAAGAGACCGCGGCGTGATTGGGCCAGGCGAAACTTGAGGTGACACAAGAGACTCTTGCTCGTAACAGTTGCAGGGTTACAGGGTCATGATAAGCTGACATGGAGATGCGGATTTGTCCCCCCACGGACCTAGATCTGATCAGACTCGCTCTGCCAGGGCGGGCATGCTCGGAAGGGGCACAGCCTACGAAGCAAGACACTATCCGGGGCTCATGAGGGGAAGACAGAAGGGGAAATACAGACTGTAGTTCTATCGTGATAGGCGGGCGCTGGGAAGAGATGCACTTAGCCACACTTTGTAGGCGTAAATAGATGAAAACCCGCACTCCCACAGCAATCGGGGGCTGTGAACTACCTACTTCTACGGGCCAGTCAACGATGAACCAATCAATACCTGGACAGCTTCGAATCGGCATAGGCATCGCGGGCTCAACCTTAAGATACGGATTCCGCCTTATGTGTGTGTATAAGTGGCTTCTTAACACAGCACATTCATCGACAACTGCCGATCTTAGGATTTCCTTCACGTAGGTACCTAATACTAGATATCTGAGGGGTGTATTGTAAGCGGGGAATTTCGGGGGCCTATGATACCGCGTCTAGCCCTAGGAAGAACATATTCAGTGTGCACTGCTTCTTAGCGAAGGGCAACACGGGATATCGCAGATAAATGCCTTTCTGTCTGCCTCTGTGTTGCCTTGGTACTGAATGTTGTGAACCTCCTAACGTACGTATCTCGATATTAATGTTCGGTGAGACAAGTAGGCGGATGGTTGCGAATGATACATTGGGATAAGGGGTGGGTCCCTTTTTAGTTGCCCTGTCCGCCTGGCTGCACTGCTGCTGTCGCACAGAAAAGCGCCAAGTACCTCCTATAAGTTAGTTGTTAGTTAGGTATTGCATTATCATTACATTACGTACCTATCTTGTCAGTCCTGCACGGTCCCTGCAGCCAACCCCTTCACGCCATCCTATGTATGCTGAATAGGACACGAACAAGCCAACAAACATAATAACATCAGTGAGCCAATGTCCGGCCAAGTACAAGTACTTGCCCTATTGCAGTCATCAATTGGCATGCTCACCCATGCTTCCCCTACCGAGACTCCCCCTACCGAGACTCCCACAGCAGCTAGCAGCCAGCAACAAACAAACAACCAACGACCAACAACCAACAGACTCGTACCTGCAAGCTGATGGATGGATGAGCTTCGGTCGAGGGGTTTTGTGGCTTCGCTGCATTTACCGATTTAGGGACAACAGCCTATCTGATTCTGGGGATGCGAGACATCGATGCGCCGTTCGTTCTAACGCCCTGGTGCAGCTTATTGATAGAATGACGTCTCCCAAAATGCCACTCCTCGTGTAGATCATTACCATCAATCCCGCAACGCCCGAGTTGACAGAGCCATAAAAGCAACAAGATGTCTTGTGTCGGGAACCGACATACCGGTACCTGAGCATGTTTGATTTGCTCGGGTCAATCTAATTAGGTCTTCTCGTTGGCATACCGTCGTTCGCCCTCTCCAATAACGGGCCACAGTGGTACTCACCTGCGATTGGGCCGTCCAGTTTTCCCATTGTTTCATGGGCGCACATTGGGTCGCTTTAAGTTTCCTCGTTGTGCGACTTTGAGCTCCCATATCTCTGACTCGCCCTTATGCCGACTTAATAGGCAGCACTCTGATCGGGCGGGCCGTAGTCAAGCCAATGCCGTACCTTAGTGAACACACGCACATGCACAACGCACAGAAATCGTATCTGGTGCCTGGAGCTCTGCAGTTTGGCAAGCTATATATCGTTGTACGCCTTTCTGTCCGCCTCAGTGGCTGTCTCGCCACCTTTGACACCGTCGCATCGTGAGTGCTTCGATGCGATTGACTACACATCTGCCAATCTACACTCTCAAACTCTAGCACTTGGCTCGTAGGTGCCTTTCGTACCTAAACACATTCAAGGGCATAATAACCCTGGAGGGGCAGGGGGCAGCCAAGGGGGACGGAATTAATTCCCATCTTTGATGGGTCGCGGACCCAAATACTCGCGCTGCACTAAGCTGGCTTCTCAAATTTGCAATATCCGTCAAGTCCTAAAATGTGACGCGCTTCAGGAGTGGGCTGGTTGCCTTGTGAGCATGGCCGCGCCCCATCGCACAGAAAGTACTGTACAAACAGGGGTGAAGGGTGGGTTGCAGACCTGCAGCTTGTTGGCGAAGTGTGCTGCAGAAAAAGAAACATGTTGGTTGTCTTGGCGTTCAGAAGTGTGACTTGGTGAGGCTCCGTGTGGGTCGGTCAGTCAGTGAGTATGGGCTATTGTAGTTGTGAACCCAGACCAACATTTCAAAGAAGATAAAGTGGAAGGCTTTAACGACAATGGCGTTCTCGGTATCCATTTATGTTAGACAAGCTGCGCCGCCCTCTTGCTGCAGTGACGGCAACCTTAACCCTGCTCGGTTTTTCCCTTTGAGATATACAGATATACAAACGATCAAGATCCCGCCCCCTAGCCCTTTCTTTCTGTCCCTGCCGACCATCATCTTGGAGCACTAGCCCCCATAGAACATATCTCAACGACAAAAGGGCCAAATTATATCTCAACTACTAGTCACTAGCCAGTGAATACGAGTCTCTCTCCCCATCCTTCGACTTAGGAACACTTCAGTTATTATTGTCATCCATAAATTGACAGTTCTCGTCTTGGAGAACCAGTCTCGGTCGCGGCCAGCTTTGCAAAATGACTTACCTACATCCCCCTTATGTTGATTCATCGTCGTATTCACTTTACACAGACCTACCAATGGATCCAGAAATGAAACGTTCGGTCTCGCCTGCAAGTGATAGTTCTTGGCCTGTTAACCGCTATCTGACAGACAATAAACCGCCATTCCCCCTTTACACAGCAATGAATTTAGTCACATCCCAGATTGTAGCACCGTTCCCTCAGGCTCACTTCCAGCGCACGGGCTCGCCATCTTACACCAACTCGTCTTCAACATGCAGCAGTCGTCTTAGTCCACCGAGGGA